TTATATATATAACATATATATAGATGTATAGTCATCTGTCAGCAGAGACGCCTTGATTAATGCAAGCATTTTGGAACGGAACCACCGATTTTACCATTTCAATTACAAACAATTTAAATGTCAGCCAGCGTTTAGGTCGAGGATGCGAGCTGGAGGCTGACATATGAGTCGTGCATGGTTCTGCAGAGTCCTTGCACAGGGCCCACCCATGTCCATGCGACTGAAGAGATTTATTGGTCTTATTTACATGCCATGCTGTAGCTGCATCCGTCGCCCATCCACGTCGCTGGCCATTCCCTAAAGTGAGAATGTATGTATTTGCTGGCAGGTAGAGAGAAAGTGAGCTCCACATAATTAACCAAGCCAGTCGTAATCACCTGTGCTTACGACCTGTGCATCGAGCTGCCGCAGCAGCGGAGTCGCCATTTCAGTCGGCATTTACAATGGGACTTCCCCGTGCAGGACAGCACATGTGCGTTGGCTATGAGTGACTTTAGACTTCAATATTCCAGCTAACCTGAACCCTGTGCTGCCTTTCACATACTTGACAATCCATACATCGATGTATTTGTTTGACTTAGACCTAGACATCAGACTCAGCTGAGAGCCTTGCTAATTTGGGGGGTCGATGTTTACGAATATCTAAGATATACATATATAGGATCCCCATTGTGCGTTGATTCTAGACCCGGAACAGCTACCCATTTGCCGTCGGATGCGACCGACTGCATCGTTCACCCTGCAAGAATAGTCCCTTATCGCCCTATCGAAATCTGAGCTTTAGTCAGCTGTAGAGCGGGCATTAGCTGCTAGGCACATTCAGGTTAGTTGATCCTTATTCACTTACCTGGACAATATCTTCGAGACGCAGCCATGGCTAACGCGCAGTTGACGCGATATGTCGCAAGGACGAACGCCGTTGTGTGCCAGCTCCACGATCCGCTGCCGGACTACATCGGGAAGGGGGCGTCCATTAACGAACACGCCTCCCAGCTGATTGACGCCGCCATGACCTGCAATGCAATTATGTTTAACAGTAAGTAATCCTGGCAGATACCATCAAATCAAATATATAAATCGATTTTGTATTCGAATAAGCAATTTAACATAACGCAAGCCACAAATGGGTTCAGCGTGGATTTGATGATTCTCTTGACTCCATGTAGTCCGTGGATCACTCATAGTAGATATATATGTGCAGTACGTGAATCTTGTTCCTGGATCTAGTCAATAAACATATGTATATTTGCCGATCAACGTTCATGGGCAGTTGAGTTGATCAGCCGTTGCTTCATTGTCGTTACGTCCGTTTCAGAGCATCTGAAGAGGACGACCATAGCAAAGCAAGACAGCTGTAGAACTTGTTGATTTCAGCCGTAAAGCTGCAGATGTCGCTTTGCACATTGCTCACACTTGATAACGATAGGCAACAGTAGGTCACACATATGTAGGTCTGTGACAGCTCCGACTTTGCTTTAGAGAACTATAGAAACATAGAGAGCTATTTGTGTATTGGTGTCATCATACCCCCATCAGCGAGGACAGCTTATGAAAAGTGCAGGTCGGCCAGGGTATCTGGTATTCGATCACCTGCTAGTCTATATTTATTTACTTTGAAGAAAAGGTGGTTTTCCCTTTACAGAAAGTCTCCTAATTATGTACGATTTTTGCTCGCCGAAGCAGACGAAGCGTCACGGGTGAGCAACAACAAAGACGATCTGAGAAGATCTCTCTTAATGACAAACACGAGAAACCGTCAACGCAAGAGTCGACAGTAAGAAGCTGGGAACGGAGTCGGGAGTGGGGAGTAAAGAGGAGGCAGTTGGATCTCGGAAGATCTCGATATCGGCAGTCTTTATACATCATTTATTTTCTTGCACTTAAATTTCGCACTTGATATGCCAGTTTTAATGAAGATCAAAAATTGTTGGGAAGAACGTCAGGCGCAGAAGCTCCATACGTTCAATGCTGCTGCCCGCTGGAGTCGATGTAGGTCCGTCTCATCGGACGGACATTCCGCCCTTATGTATGAGCACTTCAATCGCTGAACACCAATGACAGCAAAAAAATTTCAAATTTACAAGTTAGCCCCCTTAAAGTATTCCTACTCCAGCGGAAAGGCGGTCAAGGAAATTTATCTATACACGATACACGACAATATATTCCCAATTTCAAAAGTCCAGGAGAATTTGTAGAAAAACCTATGCAGTCAGTCCCGACTCGTCACGCTCCTTGAGGGAGCCGTGTAGATCTTCACCAAAAATCCAATATGCCAAATATAAGAATTAAGCATTAAGGGGGCTATCCACAGACGAATTTGTTACACGAACATGTTCGCCGAGTTTGTCTACTAACTATGCGAACATTTCCACGAACATCATTTTAAAACAAATTTTGGAATTCATAAACAAAAGAATTAAGATATTGTAATTGTAATATATATCTATATATATAACAAACTCGAGTTTGTTACAAGTCTTATAACTCGAGATCTGCTGGACCAATTTTCATGGTTTTTGATTTGATGGATTTGTCTCCGCCCCGAATAGCAGAATATATCTTAACAAGTAAGGAAGCTCTAGTCGAGACTGCTTGACTACGAGATCCCCTGAACACACACATACACATACACACAAACATACCCAGACACACACACACACACAAGGGGGGGGGGGGGGGGGGAGGGGGTAAATTTTAACAAAAATCAAAATTGCATATAAGCATGGATTAAAAATTTGGAGACTCTAGCAATAAAGGTGTGGAAGATATAATTTTATAACTGGATATCGATACGGGGTTTTATCGATAAAAAAGATGGGGATGAGTTATCGATTTTTAATGATAAACTTGATATCCGCGCTGTAAATACGGACATTAAAAAAATTGTAAATCTCTAGCTCTTATATCTCCTGCAATCGACGCGTTCATACATACGGACGGACGGACAGACAGACGGACAGGGTCTACCACGCCTCCTTCTGCCTGTTACATACATTTCAACAAAACCATTATATTCCCATTGAATATGGGTTCAGGGTATACAAATAGTGGAAAATTGGCAAATACTCGAAAAATGAGTTCTTTAATTTCGGAGCTGTCTTTGCATTGTCATTTAGAATTTTTTTAGAAGGCTTGATACCAATGACAGTTTTCGGTCATGCTCTTATTTAAAATAAGTAAGAACGTTGCAGTCGGGCGTTACCGACTGCGGAATACTCATTCACATCCCATTAGCAATTTAGTAGTTCAGTTTCGCTCTCATACTGTGCAGTTTTTCCCGACTTTCCACGCCCCTATTTGGTCAGTTCTTAGAACGAGATAACGGTAACTGCAAACTTTGAATGCTTACCCTCAAAAAATGTTAGAATTACATGGTATTTCTCGGTATGCCGGGCCCCTAAAGAAGCGTAAAAATTATTTTTGGGGCATCGATTGTAACTCAACTATCCAAATTTAAAGCTTCTGGCTCTTAAACTGTGGGAGATATAAACTTTTTTGGTTTGCCACGCCCCCTGTGGGCGGACATATATCCGATAAAGCTTTTTGGTCTTAGGTGATCAGCCCGAGTATATATACAAAATTTGAGGTCTCTGGCATCAATACTGTCCAAAATATAGCAGAATTTAAAAAATCACTATATCTTCAGGTCCGATTTGTCACACCCCTAATAGAGACATATAATTTTGTCATTAGACTTTATAGAATCATAGCATTAGCTGACGTGCAAAATTTCAGCGCTCTAGCTGTAAAGCTCTTGGAGATACAGTTTTATTCAATTTGCCACGCCTCTAATGGGCGTAGATATATCCGCCATAGCCCGTGATCTTGAGTGGTCGATGCGGATCTATATTCAAAATATCCGCTTTTTAGCTCTTCACTTAATATGATTTCTGGCATATTGGAAAATGCATTTTCCGATTTGCCACGCCCCTAGTGGGCGGATCTGGAAAATTTTAACACTTTATAGATCGGAGATATACACGAGCATGTGTTCCAAATTTCAAGTCTTTAGCTTCAATAGCGCCAAAATAGATTGCGCTCATACGGAGAGACGGACGGACGGACAACAAGACGGACATTGCACAAAACCAAAATACTAATTCACTTTCGTGAATGAGTATAAAAATTATTCACGCATATTCAGTATTACTGTTGGTAAAATTGCCGCGTCCTAGAAGATCTAATCTTTCCCAGCGGATGCGGAATGCGATTTGGCAACGGAATGCCGCAAGTCTATTATCTGACAAAGAACGAGAAATCGCCGGAGGAGAGCGCCGCGTTAGCACTCAGCAAAGAAGGGCCTCAATTCGTGCTTCTCAAAAACAAGAGCAAAGAGACGCAGCCCGTGAAACGGCTGGATTAGAAACGAGAAATCGTCGAGCTTATCGTACAAATGAACAGAGGAATAATCTTCGAAGTGCAAGAAGAAATGGTTCAAGCATTGATTTGAATCGAGCAGCGAGCAGGTGCAGTGTGCGCTTACTATGAGAAGTTAATTGTTTAATAACTTTTTTGTGGACATACGATCTTCATGAAACTTTAAAATCCTAATTATAACCATAATATGCGTGCACTTGCCAAACCACAAGTCTCTAGTATTTGAAATACGCCTTTTACAAATATGTAGGTGAGGGGGTAGATATAGGGGTGGGGGGTAAATTTTAACAAAAACCGAAATTGTATAAAATGCATAAAACTATACATTGAAAATTTGGAGACTGTAGCTTCAAAGATGTAGGAGATATAATTATACCCTGAACCCATTTTCAATGGGAAATCAGGGTATAATGGTTTTGTTAAATGTATGTAACAGACAGAAGGAGGCGTGGCAGACCCCATAAGGTATATATATTTTTGATCAGGGCGACGAGCTGAGTCGATTTAGCTCTGTCCGTCTGTTCGTATGTTTGAACGCGTCGATCTCAGAAGATATAAGAGCTAGAGACTTGAAATTTTTTTCCCTAGGTCCGTGTATAGCACGCGCATATTTCAACTCGCATATCGATAACTTGCCCCGTTATATTGTGCATTTTATACAATTTCGGTTTTTGTCAAAATTTACGCCCCACCGCTAATTCCCCCTCTCGCCCTCACATTTGTAAAAGGCGTATTTCAAATACTAGAGACTTGTGCTTTGGCAAATACTATATCTATGTTATATTAATAATCTGAAAGTTTCATGAAGACAAGAAAAGCTATTAAACAATTAAGTTCCCATAGTAAGCCAACACTGCAGGCAATGCGTGTTTAGGCGTGGGTACTAGTGTGCGTGTATGTATGTGTGTGTGTTTGTGTGTGTGTTAGAGTGTGTGTTTGTGTGTGTGTGTGTGTGTGCGAAAAATGATTGAAATAGCTATTGCTCGAAGGGTTCAGGGGATCTCGTAGTCGAGTAGTCTCGACTAGAGCTTTCTTACTTGTTTTATAACTGATTTTCGATAAGGTTTTTTTATCGATTTTATCGGGATGAGTTATCGATTTTTAATGATAAACTCGATATCCGTGTTGTAAATACGGATAT